TAACTCACTGTTTTGTTTTGTTTTTTTCCTTTTTCTAAATTGGTTTGTTGACCTTTCATTGCAGGGGCAGGGTCACATCGGTTTTCTCCCACAAAATGTTCTGTACTGAACCTTTTAACCTCATTTTTCATCCTTCTCTTCTTTCTTCTCTTCTGTAATGTAAGACTTGCTCCTCAGATTCTCTTGTTTCTTCTCTTGTGTTCTCTGATGAATCATGTACACATCCTGTGTGGTTTCTCTTCACCCCCTGCATGCTTCCATCTCATGTCTTGTTTCAACCTTTATTCTGTCCATCTCTGTCTATTGAGCTGCCACTGAGCTACCTTCTTGTCTAACCTATCTTCCATCACTTTGCTCATCCTTAGGTCACCCTTCTGTTCTTTAATAAAGAAAACTTTGTTACAGCAAGGCTAAAATTACTTTTCTTATAAACCTGGGTAAATAACTGTCTTGATTTGGTTTTTGGAGATCTGTGTTTTAGGTCTTTGTTGTCCTCATCTTTCACTGTCTGTCTCTCCTTATGTGTCCGGCCTACACTATCACTTGTGAAAATGTAATGACAGAACCCTGTTGTGTATTCATGAGTGGTACATCTTTTCCAGGGGTCTGTGACTCTTATCTAACCTATCTTCCATCACTTTGCTCATCCTTAGGTCACCCTTCTGTTCTTTAATAAAGAAAACTTTGTTACAGCAAGGCTAAAATTACTTTTCTTATAAACCTGGGTAAATAACTGTCTTGATTTGGTTTTTGGCAGGGGAAGACTGGTCACTGAAGCTTGAAAGCTGAGCTAATGTCTTCCTTTCTCCCTCTCTCTCTCTCTCCCTATTTCAGCCTTCAGTTAAGCCTGCCATTTCAGCTTCATTTGTAGTCTAGAGCATCTTGTTCCCTCTCCCTTCAACAAACAGTCCCTTCCTTTAGGAGACTACACTCGTTATGTGATACTAAGAGGTACTTAGAGATCGATTTCATTTTTAATCTTCGTAAGTGGACAGTGGCGGGTTCAACTACAAACCCAGTTGACTTTTGGTACTGGAGAATTCAGTATTATAGGTAATAAGAGGTGATGCAATACCTAAATAGAGAACAAGTGATTTTTATATTGGTGGAAACTGCAGGCTTGTGCAGAGTTGAAATCAGTTTTTCTTACAATGGTTAAGGTTGGAAATTATTGCAGCCAACCAAGGCAGCTGCCTTGTTGCATGTTGCCCTGAAGATTTGTAAGAGGATAGCTGCTTCTTATATGCTGCTGATATATTAATGAGCTAAGGTGGCTAAGCTATTTTTAGAAGGTTGGACAAAATAAATAAAAAGTATGAATTACAAAACAAGTTGTTGTTCATCGTTACTTGAACTTCAGACAGAACAAGCTACGTCTTAAGTGAAACTATTATTATGGATTACTGACACACAACATTGGTTGGATTAAATATCCAAAATGGCAACCACAGTTCGAATAGCAGGCAGTGTTCCTTACCTGCCCTCTCTTGTACTGTACATCATTTGGGCTGCTGTCTATTCCATCTGCAATATTTAGAATGACCAATGTTTGTGTTAAGGCTAAATACGTTAAATATAATCATTCAAGTTAAGATTTATTTGGGCAGTTTATCAAACACAGATATAGATTTGGCCCAGAATAAAAGAGCATATGTTGCAATTTGCAAGTCTGATATGTGCAAATGTCTATCTGAAAAATCACTGAATCTGTCACTTTCAGTAATTCAACTCAAATTGTGAAACTCGTGTATTAAATAAATTCAATGCACACAGACTGAAGTAGTTTAAGTCTTTGGTTCTTTTAATTGTGATGATTTTGGCTCACATTTAACAAGAACCCACCAATTCACTATCTCAACAAATTACAATACTTCATAAGATCAATAAAATATATTTTTTTAGTGAATTGTTGGCCTTCTAGAAAGTATGTTAATTTACTGTACAAATACTCAATACTTGGTAGGGGCTCCTTTTGCTTTAATTACTGCCTCAATTCGGCGTGGCATGGAGGTGATCAGTTTGTGGCACTGCTGAGGTGGTATGGAAGCCCAGGTTTCTTTGACAGTGGCCTTCAGCTCATCTGCATTTTTTGATCTCTTGTTTCTCATTTTCCTCTTGACAATAGATTCCAATTCAGGTCTGGTGAGTTTGCTGGCCAGTCAAGCACACCAATACCATGGTCACATGCATTGAATTTACTTAATACACAAATTTCACAATTTGAGTTGAATTACAGAAATAAATGAACTTTTCCATGACATTCTAATTTATTGAGATGCACCTGTATATATATATAAATTATTATTATTTTTTTAAATATATATATATATATATATATATGTATTTTTTTAAACATATATATATAGGCCTATATGTTTTTCCAATCTGTCACTTGTCACATTTGGGTTTGCTGATATCAGGTTTTCTAATATATCTTTGGAGGGTGGGGTTTTTGATAGAAGTTGAGTGATTGAAGGGATGGAGCGGAGGCATTGTTTTAGGCAAATCAATTTTCAATTCAACTTGGTTTTATTATGTTTTTAAATAAGAAATGTCCTGAATATTTCGCCAGTGAACCCCAGGAGAACTTCAGATAAAAAAGTATCTTTTGCAAAACCATGGCAGTCCACTCTCACAGCTCAATATTTTTACCACAACATGCACTGCATCATGTACATTAGACTCTATAACTTATAAGTTGTCTTGTCACAATTCCAGTGGAAGGCAAGGAATCACCTGCCTTTCTAAAGTGTTCTAAAGTGTAAAGTAGCATTCTTTACCTGGGCCTCTCTGTCTAGATCATTTGGATATAATATATAACATAGTTCGGTAGCACTTTATTTTACAGTACGTGTACATCCCTGGTACATACATGGCAAATATCTTGTACCTACAGGCAAATGAGTGGTAACACAAGGTAGGCTACTTACCTGAAGTGTATGTACATGATAACAAATAAGAAACACGGCTGTACATAACATGCATGGTAATTATTTTGTACATACAGACAAGTGTGGGTACTTACAGATAGTCTTGTAAGTCTTGTTTGTTACCACATAATACCACATTTTTCCATAGGTGCTACACATTTACCATGTACATTAGTATGTACAGTTATGTGTCTTATTAGTTACCATATACGGATACTGTAAGGATGTGCCTGTTTGTACGCACTTGTCCGTACAAAGTACTACATATTTACCATGTATATACATTAGTAAGGACAGTAAAGTATCTAATTAGTTACCATGTACCATGTCTACCTGTAAGTACCCACACTTGTCTGTATGTACAAAATAATTACCATGCATGTACGACTGTTAAGTACAGCCGTGTTTCTTATTTGTTACCATGTACATACACTTCAGGTAAGTACCTTGTGTTACCACTCATTTGCCTGCAGGTACAAGATATTTACCATGTATGTACCAGGGAAGTACACATACTGTAAAATAAAGTGCTACTCATAGTTCTTATATGACAGAAGAAAACTCATAAGATGTATTTACATTTGGTCACTTCATATCACTTAAAAAAAAATGTTCGAAAAGGCTGAGTGACGGTATACTGTTTTTGAACATTCCAATATCCCTGTGCTGCTGGAGGCAGAGTGTAGATTGAGTATGTAAATATGTGTAGCTCCGCTCACATGTATCTCCTATACAACGCACGTATCTCCACAACCATGGTGGCTGTGAGAGAAGAACAGTTTCTTAAACATCTGGCAGTAGCATTGATCTATTCAATGGCAAAGAAAAAGAACAAGAACAAACGATGTAGGTGGTATGTGCGTCCACTTCACGAAAACAGAAAGAATGATGGCAAGTTTGCCCTTTTTATTCAGCAAATGTGGAGAACAGATGAGGAAGTGCATTTGGTTCGTACTTCATAATGTGCGCTGCGTTTAAATTAAATTAATATGTCAACATGGTATTATAACTTTATTGTTAATGTTCTGACTATTTAAAATGTCTTTTTGAAGAAACATGATTTACATGCTTTGTCATTTTTTGTCATTCTTGGATTTCATTAATGCCTGTAGCAGAGTTGTGAATTCGGCCAGCATAGCAGGGATATATAATCAACCATCACTTTTGAGGAAGTGACACTTTTTCCGTCATTAACGTGAGTGGATAATCTTTGAAGTTTTTGTTTTTTATTGTGAGAGCATTGCTTTGTGTCTAGCAAAAAAAATGAAGCTAGCAGGGAAATAATAATAGCTTAAACCCCACTGCTTTGAGCATCAAGCCCACCAGTTTCCATCAGTAAATTAAATTTGGTTAAGGCATCAGTCTGCTTATTAATTTTAATTTCTGTGCTGTATGGGTTTGTAATACTTGCATATGTATGGTTCTGTGTATGTGTACTGTATATATGTCTATGTATGCTACACTATTGCAAGTTAATTAGGGACAATCAAAACAGGCTATGTACAAATCCTTAAATCACAAGAGACTGGTGAGGCATTGCTGCAAGAGATGGCAAGAAAAAGGAAATTAGATTTAGTAAGAGATTGTACATGCAGTTAAACAATGGCATGGCTTCATTGATGGGTATTTGTAATGGCAAGAAAATTATATTATATAGCATTAAAAAGGACTAGGAAATATAGATAAAAAGGATCTCTGCATCTCTTTTTGAAAATGTTTGATGTGTATCTCTGTATGTATGCATTTGGTCTGAAATTGTTTAAGGGTAATCTGTTTTAATTAGAGGAATCATTTAAACCAAATGTTTTAATAAATAAATATTTCAGAACTATCTCACGCAAGGAGCACAGTAGCATTCAAAGGAAACACATTATTATCTTTACATATTCTGAAAGTCTGAAGTCTGAAACATTAAAGAAATTTATATATTTTCCATTAACTGGTTGTATTCTTCAATCTTCTAGGCATGCAAGTTGTTGGGCATTTTGATGTAGGGTACAGCCCCCTGGATGCTCTCAGCACAGGTTGTACTCTTAAAGGGATTATGCCCGCTGTCCCACAACGCTGCTACCCTCAGGTTGGCTGCTTCGGCACTCTGTGGTCATGTGGTTGCTGTTTCACAGCTTAGTGCTGATGACACTTTGTTTCCACCATGCTGCGACTTCCTGCTCCAAGCGCTGCTACTGTTCAGACAGTGAGGGCGCATTTGGTGGTAAGACTATGCGCTGCAGCAACCTGCATCTTACTGAGATCCCTCAGGATATTCCCAATGACACACTACGCCTCTACCTGGACTACAACCTCTTGACCAGCATCCCTGCCAATGCTTTTAATGATCTTCCACTGCTAGCTGAACTGGATCTTTCCCATAATGAATTGGCTTTGCTTGAACCCGGAGCCTTTAGAGGTTTGGCAGCCTCTCTACAGTTTCTGGATCTCTCGTCCAACCAGCTCACAATGTTGGACCCTGATGCCTTTGAAGGTGTTACAGCAAGATCCAACCTCACTGGAAACCCGTGGCACTGTGACTGCAGGCTGCAGACAGCCCTTCCACACCTGGACCTAGAGCCTGTATTTTTGACTGGCATTATCTGTCAGACATCTGAACCCTCGGACTCTGGAGCCCAAGGTGTGCCTTTCCTGCTGGCCAAAGACCTGGACCTGTGTGTGGTGCTCAAAAAGACCACGGACATGGCCATGTTGGTGACCATGTTTGGATGGTTCACCATGGTCATCACCTACGTGGTCTACTATGTGAGACACAATCAGGAAGATGCCAGGCGCCACCTAAAGTATCTCAAGTCTCTGCCCAGCAGGCAGGGCAAGTCTGAGGAGTCTTCCACCATCAGCACTGTGGTATAGTGCCAGGCCAAGTGCTCATGACATGTGTAGGAAGCTTCTCAGGCTGCCAAAAAGCAATGGGCACACTGGGCAATGGGCTACTTGACTCTAAAGAATAAACCATTGGAAAAACAAAGAATAATGGCTTTGTATCCTTGAATCACAGACCATTCACTTCAAGATACCACTCAGGATTGATCAGTACCCTCCCAAAGGACAAGGAAGAAATTTTGACATAGGACGCTTCGTGGTCAGTGGAGTGCAATGTCTACAACAGGGAAAAGTGAAACATATCATGCTAAAACCATCCACAGACACTTGCATGGACAGAGATGACTGTAGATAAGAGGAGGGAAATCACAGGGGCCATCTAATCCAATTCAGATGAATAATTGATTCAGAAATGTCCGAGCTTGAGGCTCCTCTTGACTAAGAGGTTTGTCTGCTCTGCGTGCTTTTAAAGGAGGTGTTGTCTGTGTTTTTTTTTTTTATTGTATTTTATTTCAACTAGTGGTTCTTTTTTCAGTCAGATCCCCATTTAGCAGGCAACACATGGAGCATAAAGCACTCATCCTCCTGGGTATTTACAAAAAGTACTGTTGTCCCTGCAGGCAACACCAACATTTTACAGAGCAACACATTCTTGCATGCATCAATGACTTTTCAGGTGTCTCACTAAACATAGTATACAAACAGTGCAAATGTAAAAAGCACTGTAGTTTGCTTTAATACTCAGTGGTTAGGTTTTTAGGGGAGCACAGAAAATGGCTTGTTATTTTCTTCATGAATCCTTCAGCATTAATGATGCTGTGACTTAAAAGAAATAAACAGGTTAGCTTGTTATTTTTGTGATCAGTCACTGTAAGATAAATCACTGTAGTTGTTTCTAGGTAAAACACCCTGAGACACTTTAAGAAAATGATTTAAAATAAATATAAAATTAAAGATAACGAGATGATGTTGACCACCACATATTATGTTTACACTGTTAGAGTGCATCCTTGATATGTCACATCCAATACTGTGTGATTTTTCAGTTTCAATGTGGAGTGCCAGCAAAAATAATTCAGAATGTCTGCCAAGATAAATCATACGTTGAAATCCACCTGAATGTTCTGCCTGTGTGAGTCAATATCTTCAAAGCTTTACAAATCATGTCCGTAAATTTAGAAAATAGCATTCTGTTAATCCTTTACAAAAGGCAGTGAAGGATGTCATGGAATTCATCAGAAAAAAAGTGCACTCTGTTCCAAAACCTAAAGAGCTGCCTACCAAGACATTTTAACATATCATAGGTGCTCCTGACAGGAAAGCTGTTCCAAACGATAGGCAGGCATACTGGGATGTGGCTATATAGGCAGTAGATAACAAGGCAGCTCACTAGGTAATAGCTGTAGTCCAAATGTGGTTGTAAATTGGTTCATAAGCACTAGATTTTTATATCAAGAAAGAAAGAAAAAGAAAGAAAGAAAGAAAGAAAAATAAAACACTTTACAATAAGGTTCTAAACATTAACATTAGTTAATGTATTATATATCATGAACAGTGAATTTCATTTTTGACAGCATTTTTTTATCTTTATATTAGTGCTAATTTAAAAATATAAAATTTTACATTTAATTAAAAGTAAATCATACAAAGTTAAAAATATATTTGTCTGTGTAGAAATTAAAATGCTCTAAAAGTACTGTATTTTTCAGTGTTTTTTCATGTTTTCAAATATTGTATATGCTAACCTTAATGTATACAACCTTATTGTAAATTGTTAGTGAAATAAATTATTTGCTGGTCGTGCATATGTTAGATCTTCTGTTTCTGTGTAAGCAACAGAGAATGTATGCATTATGGTTTGCTTGAAAGTGTTATGTGTATTAGAGTGCCAACATGGCATTGTTTTTTTAGGTCTTAGTGATAGCGGGGTGTGTTCAATCCATCGATCCTAACATTGTTCATGAATTATATAAATATCATGCAGAAAATGAAAGGTAAACTCTGAGAGGAACCTTATTTTCATCTGTAATACTCATTTATTTTTATTTTAAATATGGATTGTGCACCTTTTGTCTGTTCATTGCCTGGTTTACCATACAAATAAATACATAAATTAAAAACAAAGAAATATCAACAATCACAGTAAATTAAACAATGACAATTTGTTCCTACATCTCACATATTATTTTACATTTTTTACAAATTGTTTAAATACTGCATTGTCTGAATTGAATCCTAAAAGCTCAGTGGATTGCTGAGTTTTTGCAAGGTGTCAAAACACAACCAGCCATCTTCACAAACATGCATTCACACGCAAACATAATGGCCTGCATCTGTACAAGAAGTTGTGAAAGTCACCCTGGTACAAAATGACCCACTAAAATATACTTAACAATCTATTATTTATGATGGTTATCTCAGAATGTCTACACTGCACCATAACTAACATTTGCAATATTACAATATACTTAAGATTTAGCAAATTTTCAAGGAATGCTATATTTTAAAATACTGCTTCAATAGTAGTAGTAGTAGTAGCAGTAGTAGTAGAAAAATTGCTTATGTGTAACTTTGTTTCCTTGACATATCCTAAAATCCCCTAAAGTCAAGTCAAGTCTGCTTTATTGTCAATTCTTCCACATGTACAGCACATACACACAGATAATTGAAATTGCGTTACTCTCAGACCCTTGGTGCACACAGATAACACTAACAGTAGAACATAAATACAGATAGATACAGATTAAATACAAAATACAACTATACAAATATACAACTAAGTTAAAATATAAAAAAAATATATAAAGCAGCACAAGGCACATAGCAGATAGAGTGCAAACCAGTGAAGTAAATAACAGTGCAGATATAATGATTTGTAGTGCAAAAAGAGCTTATTCAGACTGATTAAAGTGACAGTGTGTGTGTGTATTTGGGAGGGGGGAGTGGGAGAGTCC